ATGTCTGCGTGATGCCTCCGTCATGTCTGCGTGATGCCTCCGTCATGCCTCCGTCATGCCTCAGTCATGTCTCGTGTGCATCCTGCTGAGCTGCAGCTGTTGTGGACCAGACTAGATTAGAGGTGTACTTCTTTTTTTAACTGAATGTGACCTCCTTCAGTTCCTGTTGATCTTCCGGAGGGCGGCGGCCGGAGAGCTGCAGGAGGAGAGTGGTCTGATGGCTCTCGCCAGGCTGTCTGAGATCAACGTGTCCACCGAGGGAGTGATGGGTGCCAAAGACTTCTTTGAAGCAAAGGTACTGTTGTGTTGTACCTGCTCTGATAGACTCCGCCTCTTGTAGGGCTTGTTAAACATTCTACATCATAGTGTAGATAAAGTTTAAACGTTAACCATCACAGTGTAAATAAAGTTATAAATAACTAAATGGGTAAATGTCATCATGATGACGTCATTGTGTGTGTGTGTGTGTGTGTGTGTGTGTGTGTGTGTGTGTGTGTGTGTGTGTGTGTGTGTCACCAGATGCAGGCTCTGTCTGTGGGCAGCAAGTTCGAAGCCGAGATCCAGGAGGAGAAAGAAGAACGCAAGAGACAGGAAGTGGAGAAGAAACAGAGACAAGCCGCCTTCAAACAGCTGCAGTCGGCCTTCTGCTCCTGAGGCAGCGAGTCGGTGTTCCCAACAGCTGCTCATCCACTCACCCTGAACACAAAGATAGCAACCATGCATTGAAGTAAATACGCACTACAATACCTCGAAACGTGTCACAGACGAGGTTCAATCATTCCAGACTTCATGCAGCTGTTCCACAGAAAACGTGACGTATCTTAGATTTATTGTGCGTTTCTGTGGATTTATTTCCTTTTGTGTAAGAACTGGAAGTCTTCATCTCGAGGTGTTTCTACTTATTTAGACAAAGTTAAACTGTCCATACGTTTCTTTTGTGTCACATGATCCTCGCTAACACTGTTACAAGTGTAATTAAATAAGACGCCTAACCTGCAACGTGATAGTAACGTACGGTAATAGATAATAACTACATCATAACGGTGTAATAACTTAAGTATTAACGTCTGAAAGTGTCGGTCGTGAAAATGAATCCTTATGCAGCTGAGTCTGTTGGCTCAGTCGGTCCAACATGAAGCCGCTCAGTGTTCATCACGTTTACACTGAAGCTTCTCTCTGGTCTCATATCCTGCAAAAAAACTAAAAACAATCCCCAGATTAAAAAACTCAACTGTGAAGTGTTTCAAAACCAGGGAGGTTGATTTAAAGGAATAGTTTTGTGTTTATTGGCTTCAGTCTCTGAGAGGGAAATAAGTACACAGCTGGTTAGCCTAGCTTAGCATAAAGACTGGAAACGAGGGGAAACAGCTAGCCTGATAGACGCTCGTAAAGCTGACTAACGTGTTGAATCTCGTCCGTACAAAAACAGGAGTTTTATAATGACAGTTTGTGGGTTTTTTTTGCAGTTTGGCGCTGGAACTTTCACCAAAGCACACAACTCCCCCTGAAAGCACACCTTTTTATTTTCACATTTCTGTTCATGTACGGAGGAAATAAACGAGATGTAACGTGTTAATCAGAGAGCTTCAGAGGTCCCCAGTCTTTATGCTAAGCTAGGCTAACCACGGCCTGACTCCGGCTCAGACAAAAGCCAATAAACTTATTTTCTCAAATGTTAACATTTCCTTTTAAACGTGTATTGTGTGAGTGAGCCGAGGTCTACAGACTGACTTTAACCTGCGGCACAGATTAAAGATGAAAGATTAAAGATTAAAGATTAAAGATGGAGGAACGAACCCGTTGAACCAGAGCCTCTTAAACTCGTTAAACTCTAAATTCTCGGCCCCCCAAAACATTTATTGCACAGTTTTGCTGAGTCGTGTGAATCTTGAGTCTGGTGTAGTTCAATATACTGTTTTCACAAGCATGCAGTGCAACAAGTGTCAATGTAGGCTAGACCTTCTAATATATTTAAAATCAAACTCGGCGTATTTTTCCATGTAAAATAGACCAATGTTAGAAATCTACTGCAGCCGCCTGCTTCTGCACAACAAGCAGCTGAAGCTCACAGCGTTTAACTCTGAGCCCTTCGTCTGATTCAGCAGAAGATCAAACTGTTAGAGTGTGTGTGTGTGTGTGTGTGTGTGTGTGTGTGTGTGTGTGTGTGTGTGTGTGTGTGTGTGTGTGTGTGGAGACACTAAATGAATCATTTCTTTAAAAAACACTTTGATGGGTTTTCACACTGTGACAAAAGAATTTATATTTAGTTGTTTAATTTGTAGCTTCTCAAAGTGAATGTAGTGATGAGTTTTAACTCCAGTGATGTAATATTGCACTTTCATCAAGTTAAGGAAGAAAAAGACTTGGAACCTACATCCCCCATAATGCAACGCTTGATATAATCTTTGATAATTTCCTCCCTTTCGTGAGAGAACAGTGAGTTCCTCTCTTCAGCTTCTCTTCCACTCGGTTCATCTCCAAGTCAAACAGTTGAGGTGCATTACTTCCTCACGATGTGGACTCGTGAACCTCGAGCGTTGAGTCTAGAGATCGGTACAACTCGTCTGTCTGTCGAGTCTAAATACGTGTGATTAGAAACATCAAGAGGAGCGAGGGTTCAGAGCGAGGGTTCAGAGCGAGGG